CTGTAATTTCCCAGCTTGAGATAAATCTGTAATCCTTGAATCAGACAAAGTCTGAGCTGCAGCGAAGTAAAAAAGTATCTTTTATTTGCTCAGGTTTTCTAACCTGACCTAACCTCTAACAATGTTTACAACAATAAAATGTAACCAAAATGGGATGGACCCCAGTTCAAACGACTGAAGCTTTACAAGAGGATGTGATCCAGCTCCAGACAATTCTTATTCTTTTCTCTAAACTGAAAGTCAGTTCATACTGTAGACAAGGTGAAGACATTCCCAAGAGGTCTTCTGAGTAGGAATTCTGTCATGGAAAAACCGCTAGTCTTAGTGTTTAGCATTGAATGTAGAGAACAAGGTTTTTCAGCTCAGTCTTAAAACTGTACCATAAATATTTACCCTGCAGTTCCCAACGCAGCCTCTTGGCGTCAGCTTTTATGACATGTCCAAATGTCATAAATCCAAACACTTGCTGTTCAGAGAGGGTTCGATCCCTGTCAGTGACTCCGACCTAACTGCCCTGATTTACATGGTGATCACAGTCACTGGACAACAGCTCCCCACAGGTCTGGTAGTAGCAGCAAACACACACGTAAACACACACTCTCGCTCTCCTCACACCGCGGTTTATGGCTGCAGAAGCACCCATTAGCTACAGCCCATAAAATTCGCAACTGTTGGTCTGTTAAACACTGCTCTGTGATGGCACAGTGAAAACACACACACTCACACACATACTCATAGAAATGTACATACTGTATGGATGTATAGACACAGGATCGTGTACTGTCTGCTGTTTCTACATAGGTTTGTTTTACAATAGCTAATATGTATCATCATTTCATGCAATGAATAATAATGATAATAATTATTATTATTATTGTTTTTATTTGTTTTTGTTATGTTTTACATCATCAGTGGAACAGTGAATAATATATTAGTCACATTTCATGACCGTGATCTAGGCTTTTTTCTGTTTGTCACTGTTGACAGTAATTAATAAGATATTTGAAGGAATTATTGGCTGTAAAGTCAACGATTCTTTACTTGACTACTGTTTTTCCTCCCCCTAAAAATTGATTTTTAAATTAAAATTTTAAATGACCAAAAAGAGTTACACACAGCAAGTTCCCCCTGTAAAGCAGTGATCATCAACTGGCGGCCCACGGGCCAAATCCTGAACGTTCAATCCAAACTAGAGTCCAAAATAATTTTAGACAAAAATGTGATTTTTATTTCATTTTATTTCAGGGAGTCTGTCAAAATCTGACCCTCCGACAAATATAGTCAGTGACCGCTGCTACATCTATGTTTGAAGCCATGTTAGATGAATGTCTCGCTACTTGGTCATAAATCTAAAGTTTGTTTTAACTATTTCCTGTTATCTTAGATCTACATTGCTAACCTTTAGCATGTTTTTTTTTTTTTCACTTTTCTGGCTGTCTTTTATCTTTTTTATCAATGATATGGGATTAGAATTTTTTATTTTCTTACACAATTTTTTCAATTATTTTTTAGCATAATATTAGTTTGTGTCCTTTTTGTTTGTGTTTTTTTTTGTTTGTTTTTTTACTAACTTTTCATCTCTTAATGGAATTTTTTTATTTTCATACACAATTTTTTCAATTATTTTTAGCATAATATTAGTTTGTCCTTTTTTGCTTTTTTTTTACTAACTTTTCATCTCTTAATATGGATTTTTTTGATGGTTTGATGACTAGGCAAATGCAAAACTCATTCATTCATATCATTTCGCATTTAACTGTCTTCTAGCAGTTTGAATGACTTTTTTAAGAGTTGCATGTAGCCGTTATTCCAACGGCCTTTCACGTGGAAGCAGCCTGGTATGACATGCTGTATTTTTTTTTTTTTTTTCTGGAAAAGGCGGCAAAATGTGTTTGACAGATCTGTGCCTCAGAATAGAAATAAGTAGCGACGTAACAGCAGTATGTCAAGGTGCACCGAGGTGATGATGCCCTGGAAATGTCAGAGAAAACCGTGCATGTAAAACCATCATGATCCAAATAGATCCCAATGAGGCGAAGCTATTGATCTGTACGTTTGCTCTTTTACATTTTTTAACATGGAAGAACATGAAAGTGTGTGTGTGAATGTGTGCGAGAGACAATGTGTGTGTTCCTGATGAAGCTACACTTTACCTGGAAAAATGTTTTAGTTGTGCGTCTTTGTGGGGACATTTTCCCAGTTCTCCACACAGTGAGATGGTATTCCAGATTAGAATTCAGATCAAATTATGTTTTGTTTGTGTGTGTGTGTGTGTTTAGTTTCCTTGCTTGAATTGCAAATGAGTCTCATTGGGAAAGAAACGCTGCCAAATGCTGTGGCTGCCCTGCTCCACATATTGGGCTACCAGAGCTGTCAGTGAGTGTGCTGCAGTTGTCCTCCATTCCACTGACGGCTTTATCTCAGTCACCGTGGTGAAAGAGAATGCCACCAGTTCACTTAGTGTGTGTGTGTGTGTGTTTGCAGCCCTTGGTTTTCAAGTAGATTGATTGTGGCGTTGGAGCCACCCTATCCATACTACACTGAAAAGGTCATCTCCCTCTCTCTCTGTCTCTCTCACTCACTCAGTGTGTGTGTGTGTGTGTTAGATATCAGGCCTGGTGTGTGTTTCTCATTGTATGTGTGTGTGTAGTGAATAAAGGGAAATGTGGGTTTCTGAGATAAGCAGCTCTACATCGCAGCCTCCTCATGTTGATCTGAGTTGTTCACCTCAGACAACTCAGCTCTGATACCGTCTGATCACAGTCAGTGGAGCCGCTGCTTCAGATTCAGTACTATCAGTAAGGAGTGCCAGTTTTTTTATTAAATAAAAACTCGTGTTAAAAGTCTTAGAAAACATAGGAAATGCTAAATAACCAAATACAGCTAACTGGGTCGTGGATGTGTTTTCAAACAGGGATGGAATGATAAGAAAGTTCACTTTAAATGGGAACTTACATGCAGTAACATATTACATATCGCAAAATATGTAGGACGATGGAACCTGTGCAGCGGACAGCAACGAAGATCAGAAAATTCTTGATCTTGACAATTCTTTTTTGTCCACAATAATTTGGTTTGACAAAACCGTGAGTACATAAAAAGTACCAACTAATGTAAACAGAGCCATCTTCCTCTTCAGAATGAGGGAACAGAGCTTTCTTAAACGTATGCATAGCAGGTGTGGTGATATAACGCCAAAACGCTGTAGGTTGAAGACATCGTAAACCAACATCACCCTGTATACTGTTATACTTCAGTAACCCAAGGCCACCTAACTACAGTATCACTGATGTACTGTACGACCATTGCACTGCAGTTATGTATTTTGTGTAGCGGATATTCTGCAGTAACTGACGTTTTGTTCAGTTCAGCCAACGCCAACCAAAAAAACCTGCTTGAACCCACTGGAATTTCCTGTCATTCTGCATTAACTGGTGTGATTTGATGTTTATCTGGGTCACAAGTCCAGACAAGCATGGCGTGCAGTGGTGCTAATAGCACATACACTTCATACTCACAGCTCTGCCTGTAGCCTCAGATCAGTCCTGCACAATCTGTTCAGAGGGAACTGCTCTTAAGAGATTATTCACTTTGGATTAAACTCTTAGTTTTGACTGAGCCGCTCCAAAAGATGGATTTGAATAGTTTTAAATTGTTCAATTAGCAGACTTCTTTCTTGGTGTTAATACCCCAGCACCAGGCTGCTGGGAGACGAACTACAATCCTGACAAAAGTCCAAACAAAGCAGCTACAAATCTGGAAAATGTTGGCTGTGAACACAGCTTAAAGCTAGCGATATATGTACCCAGATGCCATGATCCGTCTCAGAGCCAACATCAAAAGGTTTTTTGCGTCTTCCATCATCTCAGCTCGAAAAACTTCAAAACATTAGTCAAGCCATGGACCAAAAACTACAAATGCTCCGACAGTCTGACACTTTTAAATTCTTTTACTTTTCCTGATACTGGTTTCACTATCGAGCCTGACACTTTTAAATTCTTTTACTTTTCAATACAAACTGCTGCTCACCAGTCAAACAATGTTGTGTGTTTTCATACGACAGTCCAGCATCGTCTTGTCTTCATCTCAACCCAAAGAAGAGTCAATCACAAATGAAAATACTCAATCATAGTGGTTCGGAATAACCTCAATACCACGACAAAACTGAAAAATTCTAATTTTGTACCGTCCATACTGCAGTAATAACATAGTATTTGCCCCAGGTTAATATACACGGTTCAAAATGGAGATAATACTTTGGGTTACACCTGCTCCTCCTTCATCATCTCGTATTTTTCCATTCACATTCTTATTCTCTTTCTTGCCAGTACAACATCTTCTATTCTTTTTTCCTACTCTTTCTGAGTCACTTCTGTCTTACATTATGTCTCAGTGTGATCCTCTTGCCTGCCTTACATCTAATCCCTGATTTTCTTACTCCTCCTCCTCCTCTATTTTTTAACCTCCCAGAGAGGAGACCAGAGCAAATGAGAAAGAAGTCGTAAAGTGCTGATTTAAATTCAAGGGAGCAGAAGGTGTGATTGAATTAGTCCAGGTGAAGAGGACAGCAGGGTAGTGGCCTGATGAGTTTCCTCACAGCTGTGTGTGTGTGTGTTGGTGTGGGACTGTGTGTTTAAGTGAGTCTGTGCACAGCAGCGTGTTAGGGTCAGTGCAATTAAACCGGGGCTGTCCCTGTGTTAAAGCATGATTTATTCCACCGACAAGTGACACTTCATTAGTTTGCATGAAGGCAACGCACACTGTGGCTCACACCAAATGTCATTTGTGCATCTGAAGGTAGGAAATGAAGTGTCCTTGGGAAGATTTGTGTTGCTGTTGTCGGGGTTGTATTTTGTTATATGTGATCCAGACTAATATTTCATTGAGATGGATTGAAGCTGCTCAAGATGAATGTGTTTTTGTTTGTAAATTTTCTTCAATTTAGCACTCACATTATTCTTTTAAAAACAGCACTTTGTCTCTGTGTTTGTTTCTGTCAGAGGTCCTTCCGTTCCTTCAGCAACGATGACCGCCATGTCATGGCCAAACACTCCACCATCTACCCCTCCTCTCAGGAGCTTGAGGCGGTGCAGACCTTGGTGTCCACTGTGGAGTGTGCCCTAAAACATGTCTCTGATTGGCTGGACAAGAGCAGTGAAGATGTGGACAGCCAACCAGCAGGCAGCACAGAAGAAAACGAAGCTGCCGAAGACCCCAGCGGAGAAACTTTGGAGCCCACTCACAATTACAGGTGCCAAAAAAGGGTTATTGGAAAAAATAAACAAATAAATCGGACATGTAGCAAAAGCAGCTAAAGATTAACCAGAAAAGACTGATGTTCAAAAATGGACGAGAGTAACTTTCACAGCTAGTGATCATTTTGGACAGCTAAAAGTTAAACGTCACTTCAAAGAGCACAAAATGCTTACTATGCAAGTACAACTCCACCAAAATTGTTAATATCAACTAGGAGAAAAATACAGTAAAGACTACATTTGAAATGATGACTTGTGTGATGATATGGTACCATATCATATGGTATGGAGTGGTGTGGTGGGTTATGATATGATATGGCACGACATGATCATTGCATCCCATGCCATACCATAGCATGTATGGCATGGGATGCAATGATGTGGTATGGTATGACATCCATTCTTGTTGAAGCATTTATTTTTGAAAAAGGCATCAAATTTGAGAATTTGCAAAACTATCAAGGATGGCTTGGAATGATATGGTATAGTATGACATCCATCCAAATTTGAGAATTTGCAAAACTATCAACATGCCAGTGCTTCTCTGTGTCACTCAAAGTGAAGTGTTGCTTAATTTACTGCATCAGAATAAATATATACAAGTGATAAAGTTTTACAAGGACATCTAGGTACTGGTGTAGTCAGCAGAGAGAGACACTAAAGAAAATTAACTTCAACACTTCAGCCGTCTTTAGTCACAGTCTCCAGGGTCGGAAACTTTTATTAGTAGTTTACCAAAGACGTTCCCTTGTGAAATTATTTTCCAGTAATAAGATGACACCTTGTTTCTGAACCAGCTTTGATTAAATGGTTAGAGAACCACTTTAGGGACCATTAAATATTAAACAAAAACTTTCAATAATGCAGGTATTACGGTATTAAAAATGAAGATAACGTTTAGATTATAAAAACTATTCAACCTACATGTTATAGCTTGGATCTGTTTTTGTTTCTGTTTTTTCAAACCCAGGGAGCCTGGTGCTGGAGGCCTGCTGTGTGGAGTGATGAGAATTGGCCTGGTGGCCAAAGGCCTCCTGATCAAAGGGGACATGGACCTGGAGCTGGTGTTGATGTGCAGAGACAAACCCACACAGACACTGCTGGACACTGTCTGTCACAATTTACCCACACAGATACAGGTCAGAGGCTACACACAGCTACACACAAGTCGTGTTCCAGGTTTTCAATTGCTTTCAAATCAATTACTAAAAATCGTTCAGACTCACAGTGTGGGTCTACACACTTTGTACATGTTTGTACTGTGCACCCATGACAGGAATTTTAAGGTTCATGAAAACGTACAATAATATATATAATATTAATACAATAATATAAAGTAGTTCTAAAAAAAACAACTAAAAAAAACTTTTAAAACATAGTATGAAAGTAGCCTGATATTTGGCAAAAACTTGGCTAAACCTTACTCTAATAACTTTACCTAGCCTAGCAAAGCTACATTTCAGCCATTTTGAGCTAAAGGTAAGGCAAAAAAACAATTCCCCTGAGTGATTAAATTTAACTTTTATTTTATTCACATGAGGCTTTACAATATTTTTTAAAGGTTTTAATATAGTAGAAGATGGTAAAAAAAATAGCAGTTCAAAGTAATCCTGGATTAGCCACTCAGGTCCCACATTGTCAAGTTTAATTATAAAATAAATGAAAATACAAGCTAAAAAGTACAAAATTTAATATTCGCAAAAAGGTGAAGAAAAAAAACTATAAAACACTGAGCTTTAATAACAGAAATTAAAAAAAATGAAATAGCCCAAGGTTATAAAAGAAATAAAATAAAACAGTTGTTGGACAAGATTGAACAATGGGTCTGAAAGTGTGTGAGTGTGACCTGGGAGAACCTGATGACCCCCGTGAGGTTGACAGCAGGAGGTCAGGGAAGAGCAGCGTCAGTGTGAGTGAGAAGCTGAGATGTGTTTCACTATGTATGAGTCAAGTGTGATTAAATCTCCTGTCACCACCTCAGTGTCATGTTTCCTCATTAACAAGTCATTACACTGGAGTCTGAGCTCCTTCAACACACACACACACACACACACCTAATTTTAACTCCAACCAACTCTTAAACCTCAAAAATCAATTACTTAGATTTCCTGACCATGTCTAATCACAATCTCGCTAAATTTGGGTGTTTTTTTTTTTTCAATCTGCCCTTCAACATGGCAGGCTAATTTGGCTAATTGTCTTTAGCTTGTTTTGCTATATTAATACAACATGTAAACAGAACATAGTAGAGATCATTAAATTTAGACATATGCAAATGGAGAAAGAAGCAGAAATTTACATTTGAATAAATAAATTCACATTTGAATAAGGAATTGTTGCTATTACTATTAAAACTAATTAAAAACCGTGTACAGTACTACTACTGAAAATGACTGGAACTGTTTTAAATTGTTGACTGTGTTGTCTGTAAAATGTTCCCATACACCTGCTTAACCCAAATGTCCCCTTCTTATCTGTGTCTTTTCACCCTGTGACCTTGTCTCGATGTCCCTTTGACCCCTGACAGAAGCTGACGGAGGAGAAGTACGACATCACCAGCTCCTCACCCGAGGCGGCCATCTTTGTACAAACCACAGCAGAACCCAAACTCACACTGAAGGTAACCCTCACCTCGCCAGCCATGAGGGAAGACCTAGAAGAGGAAGAGGAAGAAGAGGAGGAGGAGGAGGAAGAAGAGGAGCAGGAGGGACTTGAGGAAGAGGTGGCAGAGAATGGACAGGAAGGAGGAGGCGTTGAGGAGGAGGAAGTCCAGGAGGAAGTCCAGGAGGAAGTGGAGGAACATAAGATGAACGGGGAAGGTAGGGAGCAGAAATCCACGTTTGTGGATTTCCTTTGCATAAAAACAAAATTGACCCCAATGTGAGGGCTGAGACCTCAAATCTATTCCCAGTTTTTATGGCTAGCAGGAACTGGTGATAATTGGCAGTGAGGTGTAGGATGTGGAGGAGAAGGCCAGGAGGCCACAGAAATCAATAAGCATTCGGTCATCCATCCTGAAGCTCACCTCCAACCAGACACTCAGGGCTCAGAGAGAGATGAGAAATAACAGCAGCAGGGTCACTCATACATCACATACATCAGGACACGTGCCACAGCGAGAGGGAGAAGACGGCACCTAATTCATCTGCCAAAAGAACACACACACACACACACACACACATTTTGCCATTGCCGGATAAAGTTACCATCACTGTAGATGTGGACGGGGAGATTAAATCAAGTGTCAGTGGAGGTTGACAGGGTGTAGAGTTATGTCTTTAAAAGGGGAGGGTGTTAATACCTTTACACATGAACACCGTCCACAGGCTCCAGTTTAATGTCACTGCTCTGGTCTGTTTGTGTCATCAACCGCAACCAGTACTGTATGTTGCACTTTTATTGTATTTTTTACTTCTGTGACCGGTGACAATTGTTTAAAAAGCTTGAATGTTTTAGCATTTGGCTAGCATCAACCTGGTGATGACGCTATTAGGAATAGGTTTAAGCTTGGTTGGCAAACGCTATTAGGAATAGGTTTAAGCTTGGTTTTACATACTTTAGCCATTCACTTACAAATAGTTTTTTGTTGTTGTTTTGGTTAAAAACCTTAAGTTGTACAAAGATAGTAAAAGTTATTTCAGTTTATGAATTTATTTTGAGAAAGATAAATAAGTCTGAGGGTCAAAAGTCAAAAGGTTCTAAGACAAACATCACATATTTGTGAAATCAATCATTTCTCTAAAGTTTTTCTAATTTGGTTTTAACGTGTCAGAGGGACGTCTTAAACCCTTAGGTTTGATTATAAAATTTTAAAAAAAGATCAAAACAAGAAAAGATCTGTCTTAGAACCTTGTGACTTACATTTGTAAAATGTCCCTAACTAACTCAGTCAAAGCTCATATTTTCCAAATTTTTAGTTTTACAAAAATTGGTCAGGGTGAGAACTTCTTTTATTTTACACATCTGTTATACATTGTTATTATTGTAGTTAAAAACAATTTATTGATGTAATAATATATGATTTACTGCTGAAAAATAGTGGTGTAAATAAGACCGGAGAAGAGTGTCAGTTCTGGTAGTAAACAGTTCTCTGAACCAGAAAACAGTGGGAGGAGAATCAATGTGAGGAGTTTCCCCACAAGCCTTTGAGGAACATTACAGAAGACTCACACAGTTGTGTTGTTACGTAGATTTTTCCTTTGCCACTACACATCATATTCCATGGACATTTCTCAGAGGAGTTCAGTGTTGTTGTTACGTAGATTTTTCCTTTGCGGCTACACATCATATTCCATGGACATTTCTAGATAAAAAAGCTCAAAGACGATAAGAGATAAAGTTACCCAGTTAGTCTTTTCCTGTCGACCCACTGGGCTCTTTAGCTTGTTTAATGTCAATCCCAGCCGACCCCACACGTAACAAACACTCCTTTAAACCTCCATGTAACCACACTCATTCATACACAGCTTCATCTGATCCAGCTCGCCTCGCAATCCACGTCCTT